TTCTTTGTCTCTTTTGATCTTTGAAGTTTTAAAGTCTATTTTATCACAAACTAGGATTGCAACCCCTGCTTTTTTTTGTTTTCCATTTGCTAGGTAGATCTTCCTCCATCCGTTTATTTTGAGCCTATGTGTGTCTCTGCATGTGAGATGGGTCTCCTGAATACAGCAAAATGATGGGTCTTGACTCTTTATCCAACTTTCCAATCTGTGTCTTTTAATTGGACAATTTAGTCCATTTACATTTAAGGTTAATATTGTTATGTGTGAACTTGATCCTGTCATTATGATATTAGTTGGTTATTTTGCTCTCTAGTTGATGCAGTTTCTTCCTAGCATTGATGGACTTTATATTTTGAAATCTTTTTGCAATGGCTGGTACCTGTTGTTCCTTTCCATGTTTAGTGCATCCTTCAGGAACTCTTGTAGGGCAGGCCTGATGGTGACAAAATCTCTAAGCATTTTCTTGTCTGTAAAGGATTTTATTTGTCCTTTACTTATGATTAACTTGATTTGGGTGGATATGACACTCTGGGTTGAAAATTCTTTTCTTTAAGAATGTTGAATATTGGCCCGCACTCTCTTCTGGCTTATAGAGTTTCTGCCGAGAGATCTGCTGTTAGTCTGATGGGCTTCCCTTTGTGTATAACCCGACCTTTCTCTCTGGCTGCCCTTAACATTTTTTCCTCCATTTCAACTTTGGTGAATCTAACAATTATGTGTCTTGGAGTTGCTCTTATTGAGGAGTATCTTTGTGGTGTTCCCTGTATTTCCTGAATTTGAATGTTGGCCTGCCTTACTAGGTTGGGGAAGTTCTCCCGGATAATATCCTGCAGAATGTTTTCCAACTTGGTTCCATTTTCCCCGTCACTTTCAGGCACACCAATCAGACGTAGATTTGGTCTTTTCACATAATCTCACATTTCTTGGAGGCTTTGGTCATTTCTTTTTACTCTTTTTTCTATACACTTCTCTTCTCACTTCATTTCATTCATTTGATCTTCAATTGCTGATACTCTTTCTTCCAGTTGATCAAGTTGGTTCCTAAAGCTTGTGCATTTGTTATGTAGTTCTCGTGTGTTTTCATCTCTATCAGTTCTTTTAAGGTCTTCTCTGCATTGATTATTCTAGTTATCCATTCATCCATTCTTTTTTCAAGGTTTTTAGTTTCTTTCGCTGGTTACCTAGTTCCTCCTTTAGCTCTGAGAAGTTTGATTGACTGAAGCCTTCTTCTCTCAACTTGTCAAAGTCATTCTCCGTCCAGTGTTGTTCTGTTGCTGGCGATGAGCTGCATTCATTTGGAGGGGGGATGCGCTCTGATTTTTTGAATTTCCAGCTTTTCTGCACTGCTTTTCCCCCATCTTTGTGGTTTTATCTGCCTTTGGTCTTTGATGATGGTGATGTATTGATGGGGTTTTGGTGTGGTTGTCCTTTCTGTTTGTTAGTTTTCCTTCTAACAGTCAGGACCCTCAGCTGTAGGTCTGTTGGAGTTTACTTGAGGTCCACTCCAAACCCTGTTTGCCTGGGTATCAACAGTGAGGCTGCAGAAGATAGAATATTGCTGAATAGCGAGTGTTGCTGTCTGATTCTTGCTCTGGAAGCTTCATCTCAGAGGTGTACCCCGCTGTGTGAGGTGTGAGGTGTTGGTCTGCACCTAGTGAGGGATGTCTCCCAGTTAGGCTATTCAGGGGTCAGGGACCCACTTGAGTAGGCAGTCTGTCTGTTCTCAGATCTCAGCCTCCATGGTGGGAGATCCACTGCTCTCTTCAATGCTGTCAGACAGGGAAATTTACCTCTGCTGAGGTTTCTGCTGCTTTTTGTTTAGCTATGCCCTGTCCCCAGAGGAGGAATCTACAGAGGCAGGCCATCCTCCTTGAGCTGTGGTGGGCTCCACCCAATTTGAGCTTCCTGGAGGCGCCCCACCCCCAACCTCACTGCCACCTTGCAGTTAGATCTCAGACTGCTGTGCTAGCAATGAGGGAGGCTCCGTGAGCGTGGGACTCTCTGGGCCAGGTGTGGGATATAATCTCTTGGTGTGCCATTTGCTAAGACCCTAGGTAAAGCACAGTATTCATGTGGGAGTTACCTGATTTTCCAGGTGTGTGTCTCAATTTCCTTTGGCTAGGAAAAGGAATTCCCTTCCTCTTTGTGCTTCCCAAGTGAGGTGATGCCTCACCCTGCTTCTGCTCTCACTGGTTGTGCTGCAGCCACAGACCAGTACCAACTGTCTGACATGCCCCAGTGAGATGAACCTGGTACCTCAGTTGAAAATGCAGAAATCACCCGTTTTCTGTGTTGCTCACGCTGGGAGCTGGAGGCTGGAGCTGTTCCTATTTGGCCATCTTGGATGCGCCACCTCAGTAATTTCTTATAGTGACCCAAATGTCCAAAAACAATTTAGGAATAAATGTATATTCTTAAGTGTTAACATTACTGTCAACATTACTTGCTAATTACAACAAATGTCTTTTAGATTTTTGAAAAATAGCTTTCCTCAACTCAAGTAATTTATCTAAATCAGGATCACTAACAAGGGGACAGCCTAAGTATACTATGTATATAAGCCACCTGATTTTATACAATAAGAAGTAATAAGGTAACATTAAATCATATTTGTGTTGTATTATTGATATCTTTATTTTTCAAATAATGGCTTCACCTCCTTTATGAGTTTAAAATGTTCCTAGACAAAAATGAATTTACTTAACTAGTGCTGATTAAAATGAATGAATATAAAAACTACATTTCAGATCCTTATTATTGAAATTTCCAAAGCTCTTCTACTCCAAAAATAGTTAAGAGGCTATTTGATGTTAAGATCATTACTGATGACATCTTTATCATTCTCAACATGCACAGCCTTCCTTGTTAGACTCATTATTTTAAAATAAATTGTGCTTTTGTTTCAAAAGTGATATATGTGAAAGGTAGAAAAATCAGAGAATGCTGATATATACAAACGAATTAAACCATAACTTTTACCCCTACTATTTCTAAACACACACACACACACACACACATATATATATATATATATATACACACACACATTTATCTATAGTTTTGAATTTCCTGGCAATATTTTTTCTATAAACATTAATTCAGGGCAAAAGTATTGTGTTTCTGTGTTTGCAGGTGAGTGCGCCCAAGTGAGTATGTTATAACTGATACTACATTTTTATTTTTTGTAAGTTTATGTTGTAATATTCATATACCCAATTACATTTTAATTCCTCTTTATTGATTAGTTTGCATTATTATGTGTGCTAGATTGACATCTTATAGAAGTATCTACATTTCATCAGTTTTGGTGTATTTATGTATTGATGTTCACTTTTGGTGCATTTATGTATTGATAAATAACAATTACTTATATCTTATTACCAACATGAGTTGAGACTTGACTTAGTTTTTACCTCTTTGTAAAGTTATATAATTTGGAAATCAGAGACAATGATATGTTTTCCATTTACTGTGAAACAATGAGCCTCAGAAGCTATGAAGAAAGCTTTGAGAGATTTAAGAGTGATGAACAGAAATAAAGTCTGAAAAATTGCATCTAATTTCTTGCCATAAAAATTTTATGAACTAGACACAACAGTTAGTATTCCAAGTCTTAATATGGTGCTTTAAAGATGAGAGCCACCGGTCTCAGATTATAATTACATTTACACAAATTAACCCGAAAATGTACTAATGAATAAAAAGGAGTAAAACAATACTTAAAAAATGAAATTGAGAACTGATTTAATACTAAAGTTCTGAATAAAGGTGTGCATTTTATGATCGATAATGTCTTTTTACACAAGTTGGATACTCCAGTTTCCCATCCTGACATGTTGTTCGCAATGGGTGAGAGTTTGATGGAAGATAATATCCAGATCTACACACAAATTCAGCTGGTTCACCTGTTCTCAAATAAAGTTTCTGTTCGGCTTTCCATTTCAATGTTATGTTGTATTTTTCCATAATTTCTGGGGATATTACACACGCACCTGAAGATAGAAAACAGTAAACATAAAACATTAAGTAGTATGCAAATCTTCATAGACTTTCAGGTTTTCAAGTAGTCAGGATGGTTGAGGAATTATTTCTCAAAATACTATCCAAACTGACTATGTAAAAACATCATATTGATTTAAATAAAGTTAAAATGGTAATCGATATGAAAATGCGGTTCTGTGTTTAATGTTTGAGAATTAGAGGTGTATTATCAAAGATTCATTACATCAGTTGTCATTTTAGGATCCCTGCATTTTAGAACTTATCATTGCTGCTTTTGTTTGATTAAGATATTGGTCAAAGAGTACAAACTTTCTGCTATAATATGAATAAGAACTTGGAATCAAACACAGAGATCTAGTGATATTTATAGCTAATAATATTGTATTGTTTATTTGAAAATTGGTAAGAAAGCAGATTTTAAGTGTCCTCCCCACAAACACCCACACACATATGCACACACCCATCTACACCCAATGGCAAGCATAGGTGATGAAGAATGTGCTAATTAATTTGACTGTGGTTATCATTGTAGTATAAATATAGCAAAACAGCATAATGTCAAACATGAAAAAATATTTTTATATGTCAACTAAATGTTTAAAATAAAATACAATGAGAAAAATTACTTTTATTTACTTATTTATTTTTACTATACTTTAATTTCTAGTGTACATGTGCACAATGGGCAAGTTTGTTACATAAGTATACATGTGCCACGTTGGTGTGTTGAACCCAGTAACTTTTCATTTATGTTAGGTATATCTCCTAATGCAATCTCTCCCCACTTCCCCCACCCCACAACAGGCCCCAATGTGTGATGTTATTCATCTTGGGTCCAAGCATTCTCATTCTTCAATTCCCACCTATGAGTGAGAACATGTGATGTTTGCTTTTCCGTTCTTGTGATAGTTTGCTGAGAATGACGGTTTCCAGCTGCATCCATGTCCCTACAAAGGACATGAACTCATCCTTTTTATGGCTGCATAGTATTTCATGGTGTATATGTGCCACATTTTCTTAACCCAGTCTATCATTGATGGACGTTTGTGTTGGTTCCAAGTCTTTGCTACTGTGAATAGTGCCACAATAAACATACATGTGCATATGTCTTTATAGCAGCATGATTTATAATCCTTTGGGTATATACCCAGTAATGGGATGGCTGCGGTCAAATGGTAGTTTCTTAGTTCCTAGATCCTTGAGTAATTGTCACACTATCTTCGACAGTGGTTTGAGCTAGTTTACAGTCCCACAACAGTGTGAAAGTGTTCCTATTTTCTCTACATCCTCTCCAGCACCTGTTGTTTCCTGACCTTTTAATAAATCACCATTTCTAACTGGTGTGGAGATGGGTATCTCATTGGTGGGATTTGATTCAATCTTTTCTGACCCGGCGAGTGATGATGGCATTTTTCCATATGTCATGTAGGCTGCCATACATGTCTCCTTTTGAGAAGTGCTGTTCTATTCTTTGCTCACTTTTGATGGCAATTGTTTTGTTTTCTCGTTTGTAATATTGTTTGAGTTCGTTTGTAGGTTCTGCATAGTTAGCCCTTTGTCAGATGAGAAGATTGCAAAATTTTCTCCCATTCTGTACGGTCTGCCTGGTATTCACTCTGATGGTAGTTTCCCTTTGCTGTGCAGAAGCTCTTCAGTTTAATTAGATCTCATTTGTCAATTTTGGGTTTTGTTGCCATTGCTTTTGGTGTTTTACACATGAAGTCCCTCCCCTTGCCTATGTGTTGATTGGTGTTGCCTAGGTTTTCTTCTATGGTTTTCATAGCTTTGGTCTAACACTTAAGTCTCGAATCCATCTTGAATTAATTTTCATATAAGGTGTAAGGAAGGGATCCAGTTTCATCTTTCTACATATGGCTAGCCAGTTTTCCCAGCACCATTAATTAAATAAGGAATCCTTTCCTAGGGTGCATGCCTGCAATCCCAGGCTACTCAAGAGCGCTGAGGCAGTAGAGATCACTTGAACCAGGAGACCGGGGTTGCCAGTGAACTTGAGATCGCTGCCATTGCACTTCACAGGCCTTGGGCAAAAAAGATGTGACAACTCTGCTCAAAAAAAAAAACAAAAAAAAAGAAAAGAAAAGAAAACAAAACCCAAGACTTTTCTTTCTCCAGATGTGTTAATAACTACTTAAATGTTTTCGATATGGACCAAATATGTTGTGTGTGTATTCGGCCGGGGCATGCCCTAAAGCATTCTTAAGCAACCGAAGGTAACAAAGCTGGTAAGCGCATCACGGATATATAGACATCTCAAACTATACTGCAGGGTATTGTAACAAGAACTGTCCATGGCTACTGATACAAAATAACAAGTAGGGGATTATATGCCCAATGGAACAGAACGACAGTTAGGTCTCCAGAA